CTCCCCTGTTCATGCTCTGTCTCTCTCTGTCTCAAAAATAAATAAATGTTAAAAAAAAATTTTTTTGGGGGGCGCCTGGGTGGCGCAGTCGGTTAAGCGTCCGACTTCAGCCAGGTCACGATCTCGCGGTCCGTGAGTTCGAGCCCCGCATCGGGCTCTGGGCTGATGGCTCAGAGCCTGGAGCCTGCTTCCGATTCTGTGACTCCCTCTCTCTCTGCCCCTCCCCCCTTCATGCTCTGTCTCTCTCTGTCCCAAAAATAAATAAATGTTGAAAAAAAAAATTAAAAAAAAATTTTTTTTAAATAAAGTACTTAAAATAATGTCAGGAACTTAGTAGGTGTTCAGTAAAAGATAGTTCTGTTTTTCTGCCTTTTCTCCCTTTAGGCTGCCAAGAGAAACAGGTGATGGTATGTTGAAGCAAATATGGTTTCTGGTTTTGTTTGTTTTATAATAGAGTCTTTGCCCTTTCACCTGAAATCAGCACATCCCCTTCAACAAATTGTTTGAAGTAAATTTTTTTTATTTAAAAAGCTTATTTTCCATTATGTATAGCATAAGAAAATGTAACGATTGTCCTCCTAAGACTTTTAAGGCTTCGTTTCTTATTAACCTGCGATTGACTCTCACCTTTTCGTGGGCACAAAATGATGAGCTTTCATTAGTCATTCTCAATTACATTTTTGCTTCCTGCCAATAGTCATCAATATAATTAAATCTTGGGAGACCACAAGCTAAGGACATCAGAAGGCTGGAATACAAATATATTTTGGAGCTAGGAAGAGGTCATTATAGATCTAATCAAATGTTTTCCTTTTTCAGATCAGCAAAGAGGTCTGAAAGGTGAACGTGCCCAAACTCACATGACCCACCGGTGGAGGAGTTGGGGCTTCCTAGGGTCTAATGTTCATTCCACCGATTTATGCTGATGTTCATATTTTGGTTGTCAGCTCAAGTTCAATCTAGGAGAGCTGTCACTTAGCAAGTTTTTTATTTTATAGTTTACTTTCTGGGAAATGGATCCTAGAAAATAGATAAGTGATTATGATATTTGGCCCAATTAGCAATCAAAAAAAGGCAAAGTCAAAGAATGAAATAGGGAAATCAAAGCCCTCTTATTTTGACACTTTGGTTATTGCGTAGGAAAACCAACATCGTTTGTGTTCTTGTTCCTTGGGTTTATTTATTTGTGTCTACTTCTCCACCTATTTCCCTATGGCTCACTTAAATTTTAGTGTTTTTTTTTTTTAATATTTTAACTTTTTATTTATTTTTGAGAGAGAGTACAAGTGAGGGAGGGGCAGAGCGAGGGGGATACACAGAATCTGAAGCAGGCTCCAGGCTCTGAGCCATCAGCACAGAGCCTGATGCAGGATTCGAACCCACGAACCATGGGATCATGACCTGAGCTGAAGTTGGACACTTAACTGACTGAGCCACCCAGGCGCCCCTAAATGTTAGATTTTGTTTTTATTTTAATGAGAGGTTAAAAATCGATGGAAAAGACCAGTGAGAGGGAGTAAGTCAAGAAGGATAAACTTTAGACCCTCTCTGAGAACAGAATGTTTACTGGACAAAATGTGTGGCTTTTGAACTCTTTGAATTGCCAAGGCATCATAAGAAATAAAATGTTATACGGATGTAGTCATTTATAATGATTGTAATAAGGCTGGACTGTGGGAAGGAATACATATTAGGCGGTTGGCAAGAATGTGGTACTTGTGCCATTGGGTCTGTACCTTGCACTTAAATCATCAGCAGTCTGTCCAGACGCCATTCCCTCTTGAATCCACACAGAGCCTGAAAATCTTTCTCAACACATCGCATCTGAGAATCAATACCAATTGATCAGAGTTTGTATATTGGCATTTATTTGTTAATCTTGTATTAAATCGTGAGAAATGAAAGGAAAGTTAGTATGAGTGTAAAAAGGATAGAGGGTTTGTTTGTTTTTAATCCCATAAAGCATTACTGAAAATTTAAAAATTTCATTTAGGATTTTAATTTTAATATGTTCCACCAGTTACAAGTCAATGGTTATATTAGCAAAAATCTTTATGTTTCAGGCACTATGCTGGGGGAGGAGGTAATGAAGTGGCTTTGGTAAATTTCAGTACCACAGTTAGAAACTTACAGGTTAAAAGGAAGCTTATTTTTTGTTTTTTTAAATAATTTAAAAAAATTTTTTTAAATGTTTATTTATTTTTGAAAGAGAGAGGGGGCCCAAGCAGGGGAGTGGCAGAGAGAGGGAGACAGAGGATCTGAAGCAGGCTACACACTGACAGCAGAGAGCCCAATGTGGGGCTCAAACTCCTAAGCTGCGAGATCATGACCGGGGCCAAAGTCAGATGTTTAATGGACTAAGCCACCCAGGTGCCCCAAAAGGAAGTTTCTTTCTTTCTTTTTTTAAGTGTTTGTTTATTTTTGACAGAGAGACAGAGCTTGAGCAGGGGAGGGCAGAGAGAGAGGGAGACACAGAAATCAAAGCAGGCTCCAGGCTCCAAACTTGGAGCACAGAGCCCGATGTGGGGCTCTAACTCATGAACCACGAGTTCATGACCTGGGCTGAAGTCGGATGCAGGAAGCTTCTTTATTTAATGGAAACAACTGTCATAAACCAAAACAAACTGCTTCTCTTCAGTGATCTTGTTATTCAGTGATTGGCAAAATGCAAGTTCTGGAAATTCACAAGGTTGCTTACTGCTTTAGTGGCATTAAAAAAGAAAAAAAAACAAAAAACAAAAAAAAACCAGGCTGAGTATCCTCTACCCCACCACCCAGGACAGCTATTTTGGCAAAAGAAAACCTACAACTCTAAGGCAGGAAAGGGAAAATGTAAGAACAAACCTTAAGGAAATAGGAGGAAAGAAATATTTTAAATATTTAAAAATTACTTGAAGGCATTTATTTATTCATTGCTTCAGCAAATGCTTGTGCTTTCTACCTTTCAGATCCTGGGTGAGGCACAGTGATACAGAAATGTAGGGCAAAGCTTCTCAACCTGTTTCATATCATGACACACATAGAAAACGTAATATTGAAACAGAAATCATCTGTTAGGGAGTTCCTGCTACATCAGTCCTGTGGGCTTAGGCGATGAATATCTTGGCACACCGCCACCCTTTGGAGTTGTACCCATTGGGAACATTTGATGTAAGACATACTTCCTGACCTTGAGAAACTGACGACATAGGCAAGTTATCAGACACCGAGAATTCTTGCCTCCAACACTGGTTTTGTATCGGAGGTAGTAGAGACAGTGGATGGCCTAGTTATCGGTGTGGTTCGCAGATTTCAGAACAGGGGACAAATCCAGCAACTGTAGAATAAGACAATGGAATTTTGTTTTAACTTCTTTCTCAAGTTGTGCCTCAAATCCACCTAGCTTTCAAAAGAATAGGCAGTTTTGATTTAATTCAAGAGTTTTGATTTGATTCAATGCTTGAGATGAAGAAGGATAAAAAAACAGCAGTTGTCTCCCTTTTTGTGAACACTACTCTTTAGAAATTCTAATTCTGGCCACGTGTCCTCCTGCTTCTCTGTAGACCATATTGAGAAGGTGAAGATGATGAGGAAAGAATCGGGAAGAAAAGTGAGAAAGATATTCTGGAGGGAGTTGTACCAGGTCAGAGCAGAACAGCGTGTTAAGGCTTCTGCTCCCCATCCCCAGCTTCATCCTCTCTACCCCCAACAAAAAACCTGTAATACTCTGTTTTAAATATTGGATTATATCCAAATATAACTGTTGTTGAGCTCCTCAAGTTGCAGAGGTAAAGAAATTGGTGTCAGGGCTGTATCTTTCTCTCTAAATAAACATTAAAAAAAAAAAAAGAAATTGGTATCCTATAACAATTCATTCAGAGAACATTCTGAATGTCTACATGGTGGAGTGTGGTCAGAAGTGATCCCTATTTCAGGGAAATAGGACAGGCGGTGTTACAGAAGGACGGAGGAGAAATGCCAAGTTGATCAAAAAATGCTGTCCAGTGGAGAACGTGCTCTATCAGTCTTAGGGTTCTAGAAGTTTGCTAGGAAAGAGGAAAAGTGAGATTCCACAAATTGAAAGAAAGGGGTGGGGGATAAAATCAGGGGAACCTTTTTTAAAAAGCCAAAGCTTTGAGTTAAAAAGTAACGTAAGAGAAAATAAAGCTGAAGAGAAGGTTATAGACTCCCGCTTGTCAAATTCCTTTGGAAGCCCCTTTTCTTTAAGACGTTTGGCAGTTGTCTCTGTATGTGCACCTGTTTATTCTTCGGGTGGTTCCGAAACCTGTATTACTGCTTCCTTTCCGAGTTTAATTTTAAAATATTTTCATCTCCTACTCATCACTTGTCAGGCTAAACTTAATCTTAGTTATCTCTAGTACTTTTCCTCCGAAAGAATGCCAGAGTGGTTGGTTCGTGGTGTATTTTCAGATTTCTCACCCACTCTTGAAATGCATTTGGTTAAGCCAGGGTTTAGACCAACAGTGTTGACCCCCTGTCTTCCTTTTAAAATCATGGCAGCAGTATCAAGACTGCCTTGCCACTTAGTGGTCAAAAGACTTTTGGGTAACGATTTCCAAACTTTGGGTTACAAGCATATGGCTATTCGGTAGCAATCTCTACTGAATGCAGCTCTGAGCCTAAAGTGCTGAAACAAGTTTGTCAAGTTTTGCCACGTTACTGCAATCTTAACTGGCAGACAGGTTATGAATTTTATTTTTGCATTTGTTTCATGTTGTTGACTATATGGAAACAGGTTTTAGTTGCATTTGCTTTCTTAGTAAAAGTAAAGCTTTTATTGAAATTACTAGAAATCAAATCACTCTCTGCTGAACCCTGGGTACTTTTGTGCTTTTGATATTTTGGAAGTGTTAAAAATAAAATGTACTAATAATGTACCTTACACATAGAGGGAGTAAAATTGCCCCTTTTTGATCTGTGTCCCATCGGATGCAGCTTACTGTCTCCTTTTATAATTAAAAGCTATTTTAAAAGTGGTTTGTGGCTGTTTGTGTTTGCAGGATCGCCCCAGGACATTTGACATGCACTCCCTGGAGAGTTCCCTCATTGACATTATGAGAGCTGAAAATGATTCCATTAAAGGTAATTCAAAAAAATCTAACTATTTGGTTTTAGTGAATAGTTAAACATTTGTATTATCTATGTAATCTCGTGAGCAATGCGGCAGATATTATGGGTGCATATTTTGTATGTAGTCAGTTCCATCAACTTTATACATGGACCTCTCTTGTGAAAAAAATCAAACGTATTTGGTGGGCGTCCACTGTGGGCCCTTCCCAGTACCAATTAAAAGAGCTACAAGAGTTCTAATTTAATGGGAGACACGAACCATACACTTCATTTTTTTTTTTTTTTTTTTTTTTTTACATCTGAGACAAAAAGTGCTCAGTGTCTCAAACCTCTATGTGTCTCTGCTCTTGATAGTGACTGGACACTAGTCAGAGTCCAAATGCTGATAGAGGTTTTGGTCTAGTTTCACATTTTTAAAAACGGCCAGTAGTTTCCGAGTTAAAATGAAGTTTTATTATTGAAATAGTTTTTATGGATTATGTTAGGAAAAAATAGTGTTCTTTCTGCATTCTGGTCTCAATTCTGTTGCTGACTGGCTCTATTATTTTGAATCGTACATTTTCTTTTGCCTAGGCCTTAATTTCTCATCTTTATAGTAAGAGGCTTAGCCTCACTGTTAAAGTAAGGCACTTATAATGGGTAAGCTTTAAAAATGAAATATAGATGCCTGGACCCCATTCCACGTATGGGATGGGACTTGGCATGTCAGCTTTTCAGTGTCTCACGTGATGCTCACCGGTAACCAGGACTGAGAATTACCAGGCTGGGTATTCTCTAACGGCCCTTCCAGCTCTGATTTTGTGAAAACTACCCCACAAAATAAGATATTTTTCTGCACATAAATGTCAGTTTACTGGAAAGCAGGGTTGGGTTTTTTTGTTTGTCTGCTTGTTTTTTTTTAAGAAATTTGGAACGTTGGATACATTTGGTCATCCCACTTACCTGTTCGTTCATTCATTCATCCATTCATTTGTTCAGTGTTTATGATCCTACTTTGTGCCAGACGCAGCCTTGCACTAGGGTCAAAGGTGGCAAGACAGCCTGTTGCTTTAAGTGGTGACCAGCCCGGCCTGGTTTTCCTTTGAGTTTGGTTGATTATATTACTGCTGCAGTCAAACTTTTAAGTATTTTTTCAGCAGACGAACAATGGTACATTTTTTTCAGGAGAGCTTTTTGAGGTCTGCGGAGATGAAAAATAATATGTGAAAAAAGTATGCATCCAGCTGTTGAGATAACTTTGCCATAATTAAGAATATTTTTGAAGATCTTTACTGAATTCCCCATATAATTCTGACGGGTGACTCTAACCCAGATACACAGTCTGTTTCTGAGGAAAGATGATCTCTTGTTCAGAATTTATTTTTGCCATTCCTTAGCACTCTGACTTGGGGTCAGCCTCTTTGACGTTGTCTTTCTGTTTTCTCATCAGAAGAGTGAGGAGAGTCTAAGGCCCTTTCTAGCACCAGAAAAACTACACACTCTTAAATTAAAAGTATAAGCTAAAGGAGAAATGTGAATATGGTCTGTAGATTGTACCAACGGCAGTTTCCTGGTTTGTACTCTACTTATGTAAGGTGTCACCACTTGAGGATGCCGGATAAAGGGTACATGGGATCTCTCTGTACTATGTTTTGCAACCTGCTGTGAATCTGCAATTATCCCCAAATTAAAAGCTAAGTACAGAAAAAGTAGCTGAAGGTAAAGGACATTTGTTTATTCTTAATGTATTCGATTCCTTCAGCAACTTTCTTTTTCTGGGGCGGGGGAGAGCCTCTTAGGTACTTGATATAAGGGATAATAAATAATCAGAACTCATTTTTCATGATAAGTGCCTGTTTCTTTTTATTTCATGATATTTTATTTTATTTATTTATTCATGATAAGCGCATTTCAGAGAAAACACAGTTTCCAAACGGTAGCAGATGTAAGCAGTTTATTACGTGATGCTTCTAAGAAGCAAGCCCTAACTAGTACTTAGGTGAGAAATAAGAGTTTGCACACATTATTCTAATAGGATTAACAGTAGCATTTCTTTGACTTATCAGATACAGCCAGAATATCTCTCAGGTTTATTTCTATTTCTTCTAGTGTGCTGAATCATCGTATAAAGTTCTGCTTTTATTCTATATTCCCCTTTCAATTTCTTCCTACCAATTTTTACCCAAATCAAGTTTCTTTAAGCTGATTCTGTAGGGATAACGAAAAATTAAGTCCGATGACAGAAAACATCAAATCTGATCGGCCTGGTCTGGAAACATAAAGGTTTTGTAAAAATAGCGATTTATAAAAGGAAGTGCGGCAAAGCGGAAAGGCCATCGGTTTTGGGGTCGGATCTGGATTTCAATTGCCATTCTGTTGCTATGGTTTATGGTGGTTGGGAGGATTGAATGCTATGATATATCCATGAGATCCAGCACACTGCCCAGCCTTGAAAGCACTCAATAAATGGTATAGATTATTACTAAATATCTGTTAAGTCTATTTTCAAGCCTATCAAATGAGAAACTTAGCTCGAACTTAAGCTTAAGTGCAACATGACTTAAGTATATTAAGTGAACTTTGTCCCTTTTTTCCTTGAAAGAGTAGTAAAGAATTCATACATGAGTTCTTTGTCCCAAAATGTCAGAGTATAGCTATGCTTGATTTTTTGTATTTAGAAAAAAATTCCTTTTAACGTTTATTCATTTCTTGAGAGAGACAGAGCGCCAAGTGGGGGAGGGGCAGAGAGAGAGAGGGAGACCTAGAATCCGACGCAAGCTCCAGGCTCTGAAGTGACAACACAGAGCCCTACATGGGGCTCGAACTCATGACCTGAGCCGAAGTCAGATACGTAACCGACTGAGCCCCCCAGGTGCCCCAGCTTGATTTTTTTTAAACCAAGATGATGAACTTTATATTACTGTAGTCTATTACCACCGAAATGTAGTTTGGCTCGAGGAAATACTTTACTTCTTGTCAAGCTCCCTTGGTTTAGATAGCTACTAGGAAAGCTGTGCTCGATTTTAACAGTGATTCTATTGTGAGATTTTTTTTTTTAAAGGTGATAACAGAAGTTGAATATCTTAAAAAAAAAAAAAAACCACAACAACATATTGTCCTTTTAAAGTAAATATATAAAACCTGCCAATCCATTTTGAAAATAAAGAACCCCTCCGGTTGCTCTGCTACTTTAGAAATGGAGAAAACAGAATATGGGCCTTGATTCTGTGAGACTAGTAGAAAGTAATATGCCTCTCAGAAAAAAAAGTATGAGAATTCAATTAAAAGAATTTGAGAATTAAAAAGAGCCCACCATATGGAAGCAAATTTTATATTTGGGTTTATTTTATCTTAAAAATAATTTCATAAAATATATTATGAATGACTTCACTTATTTTTAATCCTTCGTTTGCAGTTCCTTATAGAAATGTGATTGTTGAATGTGTTTAAAGTTGATATAAGACCTAGAAGTTGGATGGATTGATATGGCTATATTATTCATCTAAATAAAAAAAAAAACAACCTAGAAAACGAAATTTTGCTTTTCCTTTTGGGAAAAAAAAAATCTCCTTTAATGTAGTGTGGTTTAAAACTTAATTTTGCAGTCAACAGACAAAATGCTTAATAGGCCTAGGAACCTTCAAATATAGCTTTTGAGTATCTTTATGAACGTGTTGTTGATTCCAACTGGCTTGTTGAAAACCTTTCATCTTTAAAAAATTTTTTTTTAACATTTTTAGCAAATGTGCAAAAGGAGTACCTGGCCTTCATTTCATAATTTATATTAGTTTTGTTTACAGTTGAAGTAGTTTCTCCAAGAATATTAAGGCTGCTGTCATTTTCTTCATGGACAGAGGATTAGCTCTTTGGGAGGAAAGGGGTCTTGCCTCTACCTTATCTCCATGTCCTATCTCTGATCAGCTGGCATGTCTGTCTGTTATTTTTATCCACGAAATTATATATTGCATTCTCCATAACCAATGCCGGTAATAGTCCTTAGAAGCCTTTCCCCAGAGACCGATTTCATTTTCTTTTTTTTTTTTTTTTTTTAATTTTTTTTTTCAACGTTTTTTATTTATTTTTGGGACAGAGAGAGACAGAGCATGAACGGGGGAGGGGCAGAGAGAGAGGGAGACACAGAATCGGAAACAGGCTCCAGGCTCCGAGCCATCAGCCCAGAGCCTGATGCGGGGCTTGAACTCACGGACCGCGAGATCGTGACCTGGCTGAAGTCGGACGCTTAACCAACTGCGCCACCCAGGCGCCCCCGATTTCATTTTCTTTACTGCACACCCAGTCTCGTAAGCTAAGAGCGTGAGCCATTGACAGATTTTGAATTTTGATCTCCCAGTGGGAGGTTGCTCATTGCCACAGAATTATTAGGCTTATCAAGTATTTCCTTCACCTGGACAGAAGAATCTTTTACTGTTGTAGGTGGTCAGCTGATCATTTGGGGGGATATTCTATCTTACTGTTATTTGTGTTTTTTCTTGCCTGTGAAATTGGTACTCACTGTTTAGAAATGGAGTAGCGTGAAATACATTAAAACCACATGCGAGCACATCTGTTTTCAGCCTTCTGAAGCATGGGCTGGACACAGTGAAAAATAAAAGATTCACAAAATGGTATTATATTCAGTGTATGGCAGGAAAGACCTCTGACGATTAAGGAGCCTTTTTTTTTTTTTTCCTTTTCTGTCTGGGAAGGGAATGAAAGAGTGTAGATGTAAACCAAAAAGTAGCTGTTAGGGAGAGGAAGCAGAGGGAGGCCGCACTGGAATAAAGAGAGAGAAATAGTACTTGAAAATTATCAGATGTCAGATGGAGTAAAACAATCCACAGTTTCATAATAGTGGCTGAGTATTTTAAATCCTGTATATGGAAGCAACTTAGTATATAGTTTGCTTCATTTCACTAGAAAGCCAAAGGAGACAGCAAAATTATTGCGAGAATAAAGGCAAATCTGTAAATTGTCAAAACGTTATAGTTGTTCTTCAGGTATCAACTAACTAAATTATGAGTCAGAATATCATC